ATTTCTGTCCTTGCCCGTTGTCGTGACCTGCCCCCCACGGTCCCATCCGACTTCATAACCACAAAGACCCCACTCCACAGATGAGGCACAATGGAGGCGGAGTGGGGAAGGGACTCGCTCCCACTTAGAGAGCCAGCCACGAGGGCAAAGCCGGGGCAGACCTGCCCACGGGCTCCTGGCTCCATCCCTTAAGCGGGCCTGGGTCAAGACCCCACTGGTCAGCTGCAGGAGAGGAGGGGAGGGGAGGGATGTCACTCAGGAGGACTATCCCACATGAAGTTCCCAGCTCTGCACTGACAAGCCTCTGGTCCTCAGGCCTCGGAGCCCTGCTGACACATGGAGAAGCCCTCAGGGCAGGGGTGGGAAGCCAGCCCGGAGTCAGAGCATGGCTGGAGGAGACGTGTCCACGGGACAGACGGGAGGGGCCTGGAGCAGGAACAGCCCTGGAATAGTGCGTCCAGCAGATGCAGCACCTGCCCGGTTCATTGCGGGACCTGAGACACGTGGGCCTCAGAGACAAGGCCGGGGGCTGCTACTTGTCACTATCCCCAACCTCAAAGAAGCCCTGCCTGGGCTTGGGTGTACATCCACCAGCTTGGGATGAGCCAGGAACAAGGCCCGCCTTTTGGGAGCACCGTGAGCCAAACTCGGGAGTCTATGGGTCAAGTCCATCAGGCAAGCCGCAGGCCAGGAGAGGGGAGACCGCACAAGGGCCAAGCGTTGAGGAGACCCTGGGACGGGTGGGGAGCAGGACCAGGGCGGCAGCGTGAGAACAGCCCAGCTGTGCAGACTGGAGCGGGCGCCAGGGCCTGCTTTTATTGGTTTTATTGGGCCTGTTTCCAGCCGGGTTTGTTGACACTGGCTGCCCGGTGTCTGTGTGAGTCAGAGCAGTCTAGAGGCTCGGAGCCAGGGGGCCCTCACGGAAGAGGAAGTCCAGGTGGTTTGGTTGGCTCCTGAGGGCTGGGCCCGGATCACTCAGAGTCGAGAGCAAAGCCACCAAATGCTGGCACACGGAGCCTCCTGGTGGTTCCCCCTGTGGGGAGAGAAGGCAGAGTCCACACAGCACCCAATGTGCATGGGCCACATGGTCAGCGGCTGTGGATGAGGCCACAAGCACACTGGCTGCATTAAAAGGTGCAGAATTCTCCAGGCCAGGAGAGTGACCCTTGTCGAGTGACCCTTGTCCTGTGACCCTTGAGTCGAACTGGATGTGCCGTCACTAGTTGAGAGGGACCACACAGTGAGGAGAAACACCTTCAGGACCGGGGCATGGTGGTCCTGTCTGCCATGGTGCTGAGGGGACAGGAGACTCGCTACTGGGCTGGGGTGGTGAGAGGAGGCGTGATGGCGCTTTGCGGAACAGCCTCTGGGGGTTTCTGTCCTGTTCATCTACTCAGCGCTGGTCCTTGACCCACAGTGACCTCACAGTTTGCTGGTGGGCGGCCCCTTGGCAGCTCAAAGAGCTCACCTAAGAGCGAAGACACTTCAGCAGAGGCTGTGGGAAACTGCGGGGGCTGGACAGGAGAACTCAGCACATGAGAGACCCCAGGGTCACGCAACACTCCTTTTTTATGATGGGAAGGTAGGGCTCATCAACCTCTAAAGTACAAAGTGGCGAGGGGCCAGGTGCAGTGGCTCATGCCTATAATTCCAGCACTTTGGGAGGCCAAGGTGGGAAGACTGCTTGAGCACAGGAGTTCAAGACCAGCCTACGTAACACAGGAGACCTCTTCTCTACAAAAAATTTCAAAACTAGCCAGGTGTGGAGGCACCTGCCTGTAGCCCCAGCTACTCAGGATGCTGAGATGGGAGGATTGCCTGAGCCCAGGAAGCCGAGGCTGCGGTGGCCGGGAGCATGCCACTGTACTCTAGTCAGGGCAACAGAGTGAGACCCCGACTCAAAAAAAGAGTGGCGAGGTCCTGAGCCCCAGCTTCAGGGGAAGGGAAGAGGGCAGGTGGGGGAAGAGCCTGCCAGAGAGGCAGCCTGACATCCCTCCCGCAGAACCTGACAACCACAACCAAATGGACAGAAACAGGGACATACTGGGGAGCAGAGGGCTTGGGAAGACAGGCACTCAGTCCCCGTGTCGCCATTCCTTGCTCAAAAAAACTGTTTTGAATAAAGGTCAAGTTTGAGGGGGTGGAGGGCAGGCGGGATTATACTCAGAAGCTCTGAGCGAGGCTCGGTGGCTCAGCCTGTAATCCCAGTGCTTTGGGAGGCCAGGTGAGTGAATTGCCTGAGCCCGCAGGTTCGAGACCCGCCTGGGCAACTTGGCGAGACCTCGTCGCTACAATAAATCAAAAATTAGCCGGGCATGGTAGCGCGCGCCTGTAGTTCCAGCTACTTGGAAAGCTGAGGCAGAAGGATCCCTGGAGTCCAGCAGTTCAAGACTGCGGTGGGAGCGTGCCACTGCACTCCAGTCAGGGTGACGGAGCAAGACTCCGACTCAAAAAAAAAAAAAAAACAAA